ACACTCAAAAGGCTGCACAAAATAAACAGCCTGCAGCTCCAGATAACACACACACAGCTCATTTGCGCTATCTGGCATCAGCATATATTGTTAATAGGACTCCTACACCAAACCCTTAGGAAAAGACGCACTCAGTAAGCATCTCCAAATCTCTCTCCCCATCGGTATTTTTCTCGTCTGCTCCGCGCTGAGTTGCTTTCAAAACAATTCAGACTAGTAAAAGTTTTAAGACTCTTTCTCTCTCTTTCCGCACCCTTCTTGTTGCTGGTAACGTCCTGCTGGGGTTACAGGCGTGCGCTGCAGCTAAAGCGGAGTTAATCCCAATCAGCAGCGGACGAGTCGAAAACCAACAGCTCTAGTGCGAAGAGAAATCTTCCCGCAAGGAGGGAATAAGGAGGGGGGGGGTGAGGCTCCCTCTCCCCTGACACATGAGCGTTACGAACAGCTCGGGTCAGGAATCCTCGCAAAGCCTCCAGCCAAAATCTACCGTCCGAGCCAAGAGAGAAGCGCAAAACACCTTGGGGAAGAGCCGCGAGTAAATCTTCCTGCGCGGCCGGGGGTTGAGGAGCGTGAGCCCTACCTTCGCCTCCTGCTCCCTGAGGAAATCCCGCAGGTTTCCACGGAGGAGAGAGATCCCGCACCTCCGAGGGTCTCTTCAAAGAGAGCCTTAGCCAAACTCCCGGCGAGAGCTCCCTCCCCTCCCTGGGAGGGTGCCGGAGCCCTTGAATGGCAGATCTGGTGGCCCTATTGTGGAAAAGCTAGAGGGCGATTTGCCAGGGCGGCCTCAGCAGCAGCAGCAGCAACACGCCGGGAACCGAACCGAGCCGAACCGAGCCGGGCAGCCGGCCCCGCAGCACCCGGCAAGGGGCCGGCCCCGCCGCCCGCTCCCCTGCCCGCCCTCGCCGGCTTCTTCTTCTCCCTGATGCCCGCCCAGGGTTCCGTTCCGTCCCCCCCCTCCGCCTTCCCACTCGCGCCTCCCTCCCGCGTACTTCTCCCCTTTATACTCTCCTCTTGCCCCCCCCGCGGGGATCAGGGCAGCAGCACCCCACGCGGGTCCCCCCCCCTCCCCGGTGCGGGGAAGGAGCTCGGGTGGGGGCCGAGATCAAAGCTACGGGGGGAGAGGGAACGGGTTGGCAGGACCGGGACCCCCCCACACACACCCAAACCAGCCCCCGGTGCGGGGGGACACGGCATTACCCTGCAAGAATCCCGGGGAGAGCCCACGGTCCCGGGTAAACCCCCCCACACGCACCCCACTACCACCTTCCCCGGGCTCAGGGGCTGCGGTGGGAGCCGGGGGAAGGGAAGGGGGGGGGGCAGATGCTGTCGGTGCTCCCCGGCGAGAACGGCAAAGCCCGTCGGATACCGGCGGGGGATCTGGCGCGGCACCGCGGGGAGCCCCCAGCGCCTGGCAGCCGGCGGGGTCTCACGGGAGGCGGAGGAGAAGGGGGGGGGGACCCGCTGGCGAGCTCGTTCCTGCCGTGCCTGCAGTTTACATTACATTAACGGGGGGAGGAGGAGGAGGAGAAATGCATTAAAAGTGTCAATTTAAAAAAAAAAAAAGGACGCAGCGAGGCTCCGATTCCTACGGCAGTTGTTCTATTAATAACGCCGTTCAGGCTGCGCTTTTTATTTGCTCGCTAAATAAAAGAAATGGTCGTTATTTGCATAACGCGGCACTTAAAGAATTTCCTCTGTTAGAGAAAGCCCGTTTCCTTTCTCCTGTTTCCTTTGAGCAAACATCCCTATCACATTCGCCTTCGCTCCCCAAAGGATTATTTTTTTTTTTTCCAGCCCATATTTCTAGCCAGCAATACACGTATATATTTGTGAGTGTATACGGGTATACGCGTACATATGTTTCAAGACATACAGCTTACTTCAGCTCCACGCAGTAGAACTAGCGACTCAGATTACTCCAGCACATAAATCCTCGGAAAGCTTTTTCCCCTCCTAAACCAAGATATATAACCTGTTCTGAGGGCTTTTATTTCAGATTTCGCCTTTAATTGCCGGTGCCGCTCTGCGGGATAACCCGTACCCCTATTTATGGCTGGGAAAGGAGAGGGGGGGGGACTGTGGGAGCCCCCCC